AGATGAGCCATTAGAGCTCAGTGCATAGCTGAGGAGGGTCACCAACCCCTCCAGGTGCCTCTGAGGCCATTTGTCTTCCTGTTCATGGCCTGAATCCATACCCTTTTCAATGAGAGGGAAGTGGCAGAGGCATGAAAGATGCCCATCAGCTCCAGCCTGCAGCTTCTCTCAGCTTCCTGCTGCTTTCCTGCCAGGAGATTCCCTGCCTCCTGCTGCCAAGTGTGATAAGAAGGTTGACAAGGTCAGGAACCAGCAAAACCTGTCTCTGCATGTGGCTCAGACACCTTCTTACATTTACACATCAGGAAACGGACTCAGAGGGGACCATGGCTTGCCCAGAGCTATTTTCAGATCCACATCTTCCCTTTTCGACTCCTGTGCTTCTCCCAGGGTGTCACCCAACGTTGGAGAACAAACTGAATTTGCACCTCTGAATGAGAATTTTCTTCACTCTGGAAGGCTATATGCATATCCCAAAGATAAGCATATATCTCAAACACCCATGGGACTCCTGGCTCCCTTCTCCTGCACACCCTTGGAAGATGTAGTCCTCCACCACGTCACACACACAGTCCCAGAATGAAGACCATACTCCCCGGCTTAGCATTTGAGGCCCTTCTCAGCCTAGCTCGAACCCACCCATCTTAGTTTCTTGGTGCCACTGTTAACAGACCAGTCCCAGGAAAAGAACGCCCATGTTTGGGAAAGTAGAGGGTCAGCAAAAAGGAAGATCCTTGCAAAAAATGATGGGACCAACCAAATGTCCTATAGCACTCTCTACTCAACTGGGTCCCATAATTCATTGTAATGGTCACACAGAATTCAGACAGCATACACACAGTTGGGCTGATTAGGCAATCTAACAGGTCAGAAGTGTTCAGAGCAAAGTTCTTCCAGTCAGGACGAGCTCTCCTCTGATGTGTCCATGGGCAGGCTCTCTCTGACACTCACTCTCTTGGCCTGCTCCAGCAATGTAACCAAGCTGTTTTATTGTTAAGTGCCATCAATTGGGGTCCAACTCGTAGGGATATTGTATAAGATTTCCAAGGAGCAGCTGGTGGATTTAAAACCACCGACCTTGTGGTTAGCAATTCAGTGCTTTATCCTACAGCACCACAGTAGGGCTGCTAATTTATTTACTCCTCAAGGGCAGTCTACTTTCTATAAACCTCAGCCCAAAGGCACTCCCCAATTAAATGCTTGGAGGTAACCCATTCCTTAAGTTGTACCTCCTACCCAAAGGCGCTCAGCTTTACTTTATCCTATGGCTGGGAAACCCACCACTCTGTCTGGTGCCCTGGCTCTTTGTTCTGCTGCTCCTGCCCCTCTGCCATTCCTCCCCAACTCCTCCCATGTCACAGGGTTCTGTCCCTGGTCAAGGAGGTTCAATGCGCAGGAATCTTGGGGTCCAAAAGATGCCCTCCACTCGTGGCTCTTCTTTGTGACGGTAGTGAAATCCCCACTCTGCTTCTGAATTGGTTTATTGTGTACAGAGCGGGATAGAAAAATTCATCAGTCACAATTATCTCTGTTAACAATTACTCACAACTGAATCATGTAATGTATTAGCATCTTCCCCCATCTTCTCTATCCAGACCCATTAAGAAAAGGCTGTTTGGTGGGAGTTTTCAGAGACTATGACTAGAAGAGACATTAAATAATTCACGGCACACAACCCCCATCCAGAGGGACTGACACAGTGGCTGCAACAATGGACTCAAACATTAACAACCGTGAGGACGGCGCAGGACCACGCAGTTTCCTTCTGTTGTGCATGAGGCTGCTATGAGTTGGAACCAACCCAAAGGCACCTAAAAACTAACAGAAATACCATCAGTGGGCAGCTTTAAAGAACAGAGATGTATTTTCAGATTGTTGTTAAGTGTCATCGAGTCAAGTCGATTCTGACCCATAGCGACCCTGTATAGAGTTTCCAAGGAGCAGCTGGTGAGCTTGAACCACCAACCTTGCAGTTCAAACAGCTTTGCAGTCTGGCGAAGTAGCCCACAGCGCCACACCAGGATGCACCACACATTGTTGTTGTTATGTGTCGTGGAGTCAGTTCTGACTCATAGCCACCCTGTACAGGGTTTCTGAGGCTGTAAATCTTTACAGGAGCAGAAAGCCTCATCTTTCTCCCACGGAACAGCTGGTAGTTTCGAACTGCTGACCTTGAGGATTGCAGTCCAATAAGTAACCACTATGCTACCAGAGCTCATTCAGGACTCCCACTATAGGGGAAGGCATTTTATTGTCTCTGGGGGAAGTATCTGCCTCAGTTTCTATAACCCCGACATTTATCAGCTTCTTGGCAATCTTCACATGGCTTCTGTCTTCCCATTTCTGCCTTTTTTTCTTTTCTGTGTCTGCTGCTCTTTTTATAACTCAGAAATGATTAGGTTTAGAACACACGCTACACAGATTCCATCTCATTAACATGACAAAGGAAGGCCTATTATGGGATTACAGCCACAGCTGTAAGGGTTAGGATTGTTTGTTGTTAGAACCCGCACCCCCACCCCAGGAGTTGATTTCTACTCATTGATTTCTACTCAAGCCTCAGAAACCCTGTATAGGGTTTCTGAGGCTTTAAGGAGCTCTGGTAGCGAAGTGGTTACGAATCGGGCTGCAAACCTTAAGGTCAGTGGTTTGAAACTACCAGCCGCTCCGCGGGAGAAAGATGAGGCTTTCTACTCCCGTAAAGATTTACACCCTCGGAAACCCTGTACAGGGTCGCTATGGGTCGGACCCGACTTGATGGCACTTAACAACAACAACAAATCTTTTTTGGCGGGAGCAGAAAGCCTCAACTTTCTCCCACAGAGCAAGGTGGGCTCGGACTGCCGACCTTGTGGTTCACAGTCTAGTGCTTATATCCGATGGAGCCGCAGTTCTGTTATGCACTGACTGGGTGGTGTCAGTGTGCCAGCTATAGAAGGAGGTCCTGGGCCTGGAGAGGGAATCCTACACACTGCCACCCCTCAAGGAGCCCACAAGGATACTTAGAGTGCACATCTGGAGTTACAGCAGTGGTAAGAAGAGCTCCCACTGAGAGTTTCCCCTCATGGGCACCAGGCCACTTGTTCCATGTGCCTATGTCACTAAAGCCTCATGGCAATCCTATGTGAGCAGGATTAGGAAGGTGGCTGGGGTGAAAGGAGGCTGGGCAGGAGATGAGTGTAGAGAGGATAGTCGCCTTAGCCACTGGTGCCCATGAGGCTGTGCTCTTTGTGGGCAGTAGAAGCTGACCCAGCTAGCCTGTCAGCATCATTGCATGCCTGCTCCAGCGCTTGGCCACATTGTGCCCTCCACCTGGGGAACCTGGTGGGGGGAACTCTATGAGAGACACACTTCTTTACTCAACACCCTTGCAAAGTACCTAGCACAGTGCTGGGCACATGCAGACCCTCCTGCCTGCTGGTCCCTGTTTTTCTCTCTTCACTATCATACATCCAGCTGATCACCCACTGAACCTCCCACCCCCACTCCTCCAGCCATGCCTCCCCACAGCTCCTGCTTTATCTGGTACCGTCTGGTTTTTTGCAAATGCGTGTTCCATTCTGAGCCCTTGCTGGATCAGAATTTGTACAGATGGAGCAAGAGGGCTGGAGGGACTGGTTTATTGTGCGATTCTGTCTCTACTTGGCTCGCTTTCTGGTTCCTGTCTGCCTTTTGGCGCCTCTCTCTTTACATGTGTCCTTTCTGTGTGCACCTTTATTTTCACTCTCTGATTGACCATGAAAAAGTTGCAGAATGTGTGGGCCTCACCAGTCACCCTCTGGGTGGCCTCGGATGGCCTATTTAGACTCATTCTTTTCCAGTCTGGGAAATGGGGTTGATAGTGCTTACTGTGCCCAGGAAGATGAAGTTCTAAACAATCAAGCAAAGCTTCTGACCTACCTACTTCCCTGGCATTGGTTAATTCTGACTCATAGTCAGAGGAGAGCGGCCCCATAGGGTTCCCAAAGCTGCCTGTCATCTTTGTAGAAGCAGACTGCAACAGCTTTCTCCTGGGGAGCAGCTGGTGGCTTGCACTAACCAACCTTCCGGTTAACAACTGGGTATTTTAGCCACTGCCACCCCCAGGGCCTGTTCTCCTAGCCCACAATAGATAATAAATGGTAGCCATTGCCGGATTGTCTCTCTTGCCCACTCTTCCCCTCTCCTCTCTCTGCCCCTCATTCTCAACACTCTTCCCATTCCCCACCCCTCCCCCTTCCTCTCTCTGCTTAAGTGAATCACATCAGAGAAATGAAGATGGTTCTTGGTGATATTTCTTCAATACCTTTGTGTTTCCTGTTGTCAATATTTAAGGCATGTGACTTCTGTGGTCAGGAGTATTCTTCCTCACAGTGATTCGTAACCACTCACTGGAGAGAGGTCCTCTTTCAGCCTGGAGGCCGTGCCCCAGAGACACTCAGGGCAGCCACAGGCTGGTCCCCAGGCCCCCAGGGTGGGTGCGACCGGTGGGGGGAGAGCACATATCTTCAGCCTGATTCATCTCTCTCCTTGCTCCTCTGAACTTCGTTTATCCCAATTTGCTAAATTTAAACTCCGTTTTTCCGGAGCAGCTTAGCACTGGAGGGTCTGACCGACTAAATTAAGACTCTTGTTCCTACTTTCTGTGGCCTTTTATGCCCAGCATTAATTACCATGTTTGTCACTGTGTAATAAAAATCTCTGAACTCCCTGCCACCAGACTCTCTTTTTAAAGAAATGCAACTCATTTACAGTTAATAACCAGAAGCCCTGCCTGCAGCCTCCTGAAGGCAGATGATTTATAGTACCCGATGAGCCCAGGCACTTTCCGGGGGAGGATGCTCCAGGACCCCGGTTTCCTCCTCCACCAGCCGCAGACCCCCGAGTCACGGACTGTGGGTTTCAGTGGTTGCTGATTATATGTCCCCTCCTGCCGCCCGCACATCTACCAGGGCCACCTTGTTCGCCCGCCGCAGCAACGTCAGATAGAGTTGACGCTCTTGTCCTCTTTCCCCTCACAGATCACGTCTCAATTGGAGGACTCGGGGACAGTTTTTATGAATATTTGATCAAATCCTGGCTGATGTCGGGCAAGACAGATATGGAGGCTAAAAATATGTACTACGAAGCCTTGGAGGTAAGATAGCCACTTGCTTCTTTGTGGGCAGTTGTCCGTTAGCCACTGGTTCTCTTGGCAGCGTGCTAGGGGCAGTGCTAGGGGTAGCAGGGACCAGATGATCCAGGTAGACTGGCCAGGACCAGGACCAGGGCCTGTCACTTTACACGTTGCCTCATGACCCTCTTGGCAGCTGATGTCATTGGTTTGCAGATGCAAAGCCCAAGCTCAAGGAGGTGAAGTAGTTTGTCCAAGGTCTCAGCATAGGTGACAGTCAGTCTGGTTTAGCATCCATGGCCCAAAACTCCATCCTCCCCACCACGGTGTCTGAGTTGAGTTCACAGACCAGGCCACAGGAGGCTGCCACCTTCTTCCTGTTGAACCAGTAGTAGCATGTTCCTGATGGGGGGGGGGGGGGGGGCTCCTCAGTGCCACACCCAGCTCTGCTCCTCCTCTTTCCATGGATAGAAGCCAAGTCCCAGAGACATGCCAAGCACCACACAGCTCAGAGCTCACTCCCGAGCCAGTTCCCCCCCAGCTGTTTTCCCTTCCCTATACCACTACTGGGCTTTCTGGGAGATTCACCCCACATGGTTTGGGATAAATGAGGAACCAAAGTCTATCTTCAGTCCACCTGGAGACACTGAGACTTAGGACAGAAGCGGAGAGTATAGAATCTCAGCAGCCCATCAAAAGACATCTTGGAGCCCCACTAAGGAAAAGGTATTAGGCCCTGTACTGTGCTGGTCACATAAATTGTCACCTTGTGACTCCAGTCCTCAGTTTCCCCATAAAGTCAGTTGAGCAGGTTGGATCTACTCTGTCACCATCTTGATCAAAGCTCCCACTTTCTGCTTTCTAACCTGGACTCCTGCCTCCTCCTCCCAGTCCATTCTCCACACACAGCCAGGTGAGTGGGAAATGCAAGGCCCTCCCCTCGCTACCTTCCTTCCTCTTTGCCCACCAGGCCCCACTTGACCCAGGCCCTACAGGTTGCTGGGAGCTCCTCTCCTCACTCTTCCCTCTCTGCTCTCATCATCAGCCTTCCTGCTCTTCCTCAGACACAACAAATTCATTCCCACCTCAGGGCCTTTGCACTTGCTGTCCCCTCTCCTAGAATGTCATTGAAATGGCTGGATCCCTTGTGTCAGTGAACTATCAACTGACATGTCACTAGACTAGCTTTTCCCCAGGCTTATTCCCTTCCTTACCTTTATCATATTTAAAACCTGCATGTTCATGGAATGTGAGCTAACTACTCTCTGATATCAGAATCTGGCCAGGAATGGATAATGCTTTCCTTGACGCTAAAATAAGTCTCAAAGCCATGGACCCTTTAAACTGGGAGCTCAAGCAATTAGCTTGAGCCTACATCCCACTCTCTCCCAGGCTTCAACTGGGTTCAGGGTGCCAAGAGACCCCTAGGTCAGCACTCCATCAATGGCTAGTGTGTGCCCCTGGGAATGACAGTCTCTGCAGTCCCTTGCAAAGTAAACAGAAAGCTGACTAGCAGCCTGGTTCACTCCCCTCAGGGCACAGTGCAGTTGAGTCTTCAAGGATAGAAAGGGCCATGAATTATTTAAGCAAACTGGGAGTTTTATGGAAGCACTCCATTGAACAGGGTAGAATTGGGCTTTGCTCCCTTGCATTTGATCTCCCCAGTGAAGAGCCTGAAGCCTCTCTGACCCCAGTAAAGACTGGGCCTCTGGCAAGTTTGGGGCTTTGAAGAATGTTCCATGGTTCACAACCTTTTCTGCATGTTAAAATTGCCTGGGGAGCTGTAAAATTCTGCTGCCCAGGCCCCCCTCGGACCAGTTACATCAGAGACTCAGAACTGGGGCCCAGACAGCAGCATTCTAAAGATCCCCAGCTTTTAAATCTCCCTGTGCCTCCCCCGGCTAATTCAATCAGAATTGGCACTTCTTTAAAGCATTCATGGTGATTCTAAAGTGAAACAAGGGCAGGAAACAACAGGCTAGAGGAATGGACCATTGGGATGGGAATGGGGGGTAGACAGATCCCATGGGGCACACCCCTGTGTGTCCCAGTTAAGAAACACAGCAAGAACTTCTGATATTGCAGGCCTCCTTTGAGCTCTACGTCGTTGTTAGGTGCTGTCGAATGAGTGTGGACTCATAGTGACCCTGTACCTGGTCTTATTTAATCCCCAAAACGTGGCAAAAGCAGATGCATCCACTCCTCATTCATCAACACGATTAGGTTCCAAAGATCAGCTCATTATGTGAAACTTGGCATTGTGGGAAAATGGGGGATGTCTACATCAGATCACAACAGAGAAGATAATGTCATCATTACCTAACTGCCAACCCACTGAAAATCATGGCCCAGCCGGGCTGACACAAACCTTAACCATGTGGCCAAATTTACTTTCTTCTCAACCTTGGCATTCATTTTTACCAGATATATATCATTATGAATAAAATAGTTCGATAGGTTTTTACTTGTGTCATAAATATACAATGGTGGATAATGAAACCGTCAATACAGGAGTGGTGGTGGTGGTTATGTGCCGTGGAGTCAGTTCCGACTCATAGCGACCCTGCGTAGGGTTTCCGAGGCTGTAAATCTTTATGGAAGCAGAAAGCCTCATCTTTCTCTCACGGAACAGCTGGTAGTTTCGAACTGCTGACCTGATTCGTAACCACTACACTACCAAAGCGTCTTCAATACAGGAGTAGTAGATATATTTATTATTACACCTATCTCAGAGATGAGGAAACTGAGGCTCAGAAAGGCCCACAATTACACAGTTATAAGTGTCAGAGCCAGGATGCAAGCCCAGATATGACTGACCCAAAGGCAGGACAATTGCCAGGTCCCAAAAAAGCCTGGCTCACCTCAAAATCCCTCACAGGGCTGCTGAGATGGAGGTTCTCCCCAGAAGGAAAAGGAAAGAATACTCATTGAGCTCTAGAGTCTGACTATTCTGCCCTTTAATCCTCAGGCCATCTTCACCAGGAATCATGATCCCTAACTTTTAGATGAGGAAAAGAACCCTTCAGAAAAGTGGAGTCACCCAATTCTCAAATTGCAGAGCTGGGATTTAAGCCGAGCTTTGTGACTCCCCACCCAGCTCTGTGCTCTCTTGCTGTGTTTTCAGCCTCTCGTCAGTTGGCTGCCAACCTGTGCTGTCTTGTGTTTTGCTTAGTGTTTTAAGAAACCTTGTATCTTCTCTTTTGCATCTGCTTGTCTCATTTTCTTCTCAGAGACTGGCCTATAATCTCTTCTCCAAAGTTCCTCAGTTTGAGGTTAACCGCAAATAGAAGTGGTTCTGACTTATATGGGAGATGATCTGAAAGGGGCAGATTTTCTGCTTTGGTGAGGTGTAGCCTAGGATCTCCCCACCTCCATGTCTGACACCTAGTAACTTGGAACCAGGTTTCTACAACCTGGACTCACCTGAAACCTCTCCGGGACCTGCATGCCTGGTGATGAACAGCAGATCCTTTTGATCCAGCTCTGTCTAGGAGCCAAGGCTGGCCCAAAACAGACCCCTACCAGGCAGCCAGACAGCCACCCTCCCCAGTGCTTGCCCCATTTGGATCAGGTGGCTTGAAGTTCCTTATCTGCTCTTGGGTGGGGGTCCTGAAGCCAGCCCACCAGCCCCAGGCCCTTCCAAAAAAGGGGAAAGGAGCAAACAGAGCAGGGGGGTATCTAGTTTGAACACCTTCATTACAGTGGGCGTGGCGGCTCTGGGATAGAGACATCAGCAGAAACCAGCTCAACTGTGTGGATGGACGCAGGGTGGGAGTGGACACCAGGTAGGAAAGTGGAATGATAAAGACAGTAACAGGGCTGACCTCTTCACGGCAGTGGCTGAGGTTAACCCTGAGGTTTAACCTAGGGTGGGTAGGCAGGCAGGACAGGACTCAGGAGGGTGGGCCAGTGGACAGGAGGAAATGCGTGACTGTCACCTTCACCAAGACCTTCTCTGACCTGGCTCCGCAGAGTATGGCCCCTACCACCATCTCTCCATCTCGGCCTCTCACTGTGCTGGCCACAGTTAGAGTCCTTGTGTGTTGAGATTTGGGGGAAGTTGATTTGCCGTCTCTGTACTCAGGAGTGGTCCATCTTTGGTACAGCTGCATCCTCAGCACCTCACACAGAGCTAACCCTCAGGAAATATTTGATGGGAGGACGGCCAGGCAGGGTGATGCATGAATAAAAAGAGACCAGTGTGTCTGGGGCCAGGGCATGACGGGAGTTACAATAGCCAACATTTACCAAGTACCCTTTTTATTCCAGAAACATGCAAAGTTCTGTAGACACACCGCGTTTAGCCCTTGCGAACCTCTGAAATACGTAATGCCCTTATTCCCATTTTACACACAAGGACACTGAGGTTGAGAGAACATATATCCTGCCCAAGGTCACACAGCTTGGAACTGGTAGGAATGGGATTTGAACCAAGGGAGTCTGTCCCTAGGAGCAATGTTTACAGCATTGGGCTAAACCTCAGGATATAGTTCAGAGTCTCAAAAGCCCTGTGGACTTTCTCCAAAGCATACTTGAAAACTGCTGAAGGGTTTTAAACAGGCACAAGATACAATCTGCCTTGTGATTTACAGAGCATAGAGACTCCCCTAGAGAACAGATTGGAGGGGCGAGAGTGGAGGCGGAGGCCTGGCAGGGTCTCAGAGGTCCCTGGCTAGGGAATCAGACCACACAGTCCATCCCAGAGGCTGACCTGAAGGCTGTGTACATAGCTGCTGCACTCACATCCTGTCTCCAGGCCTCCTGGGTACAGTGACCTAACACCTGATGGCCCCCCAGCACCCTGGGGGCACTGTCTGTGGAACCTCGGACCCAAGTGGAGCAGCCACTGGGCATGGAAGCAGCGTGCTCCAGGCATGTAAGGGCCTGGTCCTGGGCCTGGCAGGGTAGCCTGGCTGGGACAAGTCTGTGAAGGCATTAGGACCTGTTTCCCTACCAGTTGAAAGCATCAGATGAGCAGACAGATGATAAAGTACCTGTGGAGAGCAGCTCTTCATGCTCTGTGGGTCTTTTTTTTTTTTTTTTAACATCAATGTTTTTATTCAAGAAAGTCAAGGGAAGCACATTTGACACTAGAATACTTTTTGTTTGTTTTGTTTAAGGTTTTTATTGTGGATTGAGTGAAAGTTTACAGGGCAGATCATCAGTTTTACATCCAACAAATCATAAACCTTGTTTCATTACAATGATTAAAGTCCCCTCCATGTACCATCAGTTTCACTTTAGCTCTTTTCTTTCTTTCTTTCTTTTTAAAACACTCAGGCGTATATAATAATTTACACCACCAAAGGGCACATTCTGCAATTCTGCCTCCCGGAAGCCAGCTCTTAGTCCCTCTCTTCCCATGAATCTAGAGTTCTCAGCTGCTCCCCGTCTCCATGGCCCCATCTCTGCCTCCATCTCTGGTGTCGCTTGTTTCTCTGTATAAGGTCTCTCGTTCAGCTTGTGCTTATCTCCCTTGATGGGCCTAGGGTCCTCTGTTTCTGGACTGTAAGATTAACTACTCCCCTGTTTTGTTACAAAACTTCTACCTTTACAATTGTGACAGTCACAATTAGTCATGGTAACAATTACTATTGAATCATATGAATCTTATCCCCATCTCTTTTCACCAGACCCATCTAGACAAGATGAAAACTATTCAGTGGGGACTCTTTTCTTCCTCCCCATATTCTTAAACTAAACTCCCTCTTGAAACCTTGTAAGCCAGTCACTTCGTGCCTTTATCGCCCCCTTATTTTAGGTAGCCAATGTCTAAGTTGCCCATCCTTACCTGCCCTGTGTACAGAGGGGATTGCATTGATACTTGATGTGAAGACTCCTTCTTCCCTCTCTGTTGGTATTTAGAGCTACTACCTCTATGAGTATAGGTCAAGTTCATAAAATTGTAGCAATTTACCCTGATTTCCTTTATAAAAAATTGTTTTGTTCTTTTTTTTATCTTCCTCTAGTCAAGTTCTGATTATCAAGCCATCAAGGCTAGGTCAAATAGGTATCTGTGTGCCCTTTTTAAAAATCAGATCACTTACCCAGACCTTCTGCCCAGAAAAATGCACATTCACAAAAGTGGTCCATGCAGTTTAGGGGGCTTCCTAGAACTCGTGGAGCCTGTTTACAGGGTCAGTTGGATTTCCTGTAAAGCACCCCTAGCAGAGGTTGTAATGGAGGAGGCGGATCATTCTGGAAGACTAAAGGAAGACCCTGGATGTAAAAGAATCTCCTAGGGAGTATCCCAGCAGGCCCAGCAGCCCTGTCAGGACCACTACCAGTAGTGGCTGGATGCTGGGTTCGACAGAGCTGCACTGACAGCTGTCTTCTCCAATGATACTCATTTCTCCTTTTCCCCCTCCTTTGTCTATCCCCTCCCACCCTCACCCTGCCCAACCCCTGCCCTGCTCCCAGGCAATAGAGACCTACTTGCTGAATGTCTCTCCCGGGGGGCTGACCTACATTGCTGAGTGGCGAGGGGGGATTCTGGACCATAAGATGGGCCACCTGGCCTGTTTCTCAGGGGGCATGATCTCCCTCGGCGCTGAGGATGCCAAGGAAGAAAAGAGGGCCCACTACCGAGAACTTGCAGCCCAGATCACCAAGACGTGCCATGAGTCATACGCCCGCTCAGGTAATCCGGTCAAGGGATGGGGCAGCAGGAGAGACTGAGGCTAGACACAGGAGGAACTGGAAAGCCCAACAGAGCAGCAGGGAGTGAAGGGAATTCCCCTTGGAAATTATGTAGAGCCCAAATGTGGGACACTCTCCATACAAGAAAACGTAGTTTAAGCTAAAAGCAGTCACAGTGCTTCCTGAGTATTGCACGTGTGTTGGCGCTATGTGACAGTTGGCACCCACCATGGCTGGGTCTCTTAACATGGGTGAGGAAATGGATGCTTAGACATGACTTGGCCAAGGTCCTATATGAGCAGTCCATTGGGGGGTCCTCCAGTCCCTGCACCCTCAGACCTCCACCCCTGCCCTGTTCTTTCCCCACTGGCACCTCTCCACCTAGTGGGTCTCACCATCCTGCTGAGCTCAGACCACCAAAGTACCTGAGAGCTGCTTCATCGTCCCCACCCAGCACTCACTGCAGAATTACCAGTCATGTGCAAGGGCAGGACCCCAACTCCTCATTCTGCACATGGGGACACTGAGTCAGCCCAGAGAGGGGAAGTGGTGTAGCCAAAGTCACACTGCACATGAGTAGCTAAGTCTGAACTAGAATAGAGCCCAGGTCTTCTAATGCCCAGTCCCACATTGCATGCTGCCTCTGTAAACAGCAGTCTTCAGGAAAATCTCTGCCCCCACAGTGGCCCCAGGAGATTCCTGCTGGCTCTAATGCACTCTGACCAATCACCAGCAGGGTGGCCTCTATTTTCTAATCTGTTCAATGGGAACAGTATCGTGGGTCTCTGAGGTGAGGTGGAGGGTCCTGCAGGAAAGCACTTGGTCCACAGGCTATAACCAACATCACAGGAAGCACGTGTTAGCACCCACCTGCCAGGCCCACCACAGACACGGTTCTGTTGGCTCCAATCCAATCTGGTTCTCCTGGAGCTGTTTGTAGGAAGCCCGTAGTTTGCAACAGGTACTTAAAGCTGACCTTCCCTTCCCTTCCCTTCCCTTCCCTTCAAAGAGCCCGTTCGGCCAAGACCAGAAACAAACAGGAAATCTGAGGACTAATAACGAGCTCGCTATTTGTCAGAGACAATCAGCCCAGACCATAAAAGACAGCCCACTTAACAGAGCATATTGTTCTCAGCAGCCTGGCTTGTCCCACTGACGGCTGCAACCGTCACTGCTGCCCTCAACCCATTAGCAGTTTGGCAAACCTCACTAGCGGCTGTGCCACTTGAGAAGGGTGAAGGGACTAGGTCTAGATCATCCCTGTCCCATAATCCCCTACATAATAAATAGGACATCCCCCCAAGCTTTAGTCCCCATCTCAAGGAAAAGCAACATAGAGCCTCCCAGGAGGGAGGGTGGACACCCACTAGGCCCAGAGCTGGGCACACAACTGAGCTAGAGAGGATGACCAGGTACTACAGTTAGAAGTTCTGATCCACACCCCCTAAATTTTGAACCTAGATTGTCAGACTCAGGAGGGAAAGGGAGAGACCACAGGGAAACGGGATCAGATCCAAGGTCACATCCCAACTCAATCAGACTCCTTGTGTTACCTTGGACAAATGACTTACCCTCTCTGATCCTCAGTTTCCACATGCAGGAAAGAAAATAAAATCTACCTTAGCACAAAAACATTTATGAAGGACCTGAAATATTGTCTGCAAAGCACCTGTTGTTGTTAGGTGCCATCAAGTTGGTACCAACTCATAGCGACCCTATGCACAACAGAGCGAAACACTGCCCGGTCCTGGGCCAACCTCACAACCGTTGCCACACTTGAGCCCATTGATGCTGCCACTTTGCCAGTCCATCTCGCTGGGGGCCTTCCTCTTTTTCTCTCACCCTCTACCTTACCAAACATGATATCCTTCTCCAGCGACTGGTCCCTCCTGACAATATGTCTGAAGTATGAGAGATGAAGTTTGGCCATCCTGGCCTCCAAGGAGCACTCTGGCTGCACTTCTTCCAACACAGATCTGTTGGTTCTTTTGGCAGCCCATGGTACTTTCAATATTCTCCTCCAATACCATAACTCAAAAGCATCAATTCTTCTAACGGTCTTCCTTATTCACTGTCCAGCTTTCATATGCATATGAGATTATTGAAAATACCAAGGCTTGGGTCAGGTGTACCTTAGTCTTCAAGCTGACATCTTTGCTCTTCAACGCTTTAAAAAGGTCTGTGCAGCAGATTTGCCTAAAGCAGCTTGTTATAGTTGTTAAGTGCCGTTGTCAATTCCAACCCATAGTGTAGGGTTTCCAAGAAGCAGCTAGTGAGCTTGAACCACCAACCTTGCAGTTCAAATCACTTTGCAATCTGATGCATTAGCCCACAGAGCAACACCAGGACTCTGCCTAAAGCACCTTGTTGTTGTTAAGTACCGTGGAGTCGGTTCTGACTCATAGTGACCCTGCACAGGGTTTCCGAGGCTGCAAATCTTTATGGGAGCAGAAAGCCTCATCTTTCTCCCATGGAACAGCTGGTAGTTTCGAACTGCTGACACCTAGCAGTGTTTAAAATCCTGGCTGCAGGGGGAGCTATAATTGTCTTCACACAGAAAACAGGAGTGGCAGCAAAGTGCCCAAAACCAAAACAACAAAAAGACAAAAACTAAATCTCACCAGGCCTTCTTTCCTCAGCTCCCTCTGCCTGTGTTGGGGTGCATTACTGGGCAAGTCTTTCCTCATCTTCACCTCAGTAGTTCCCACAAATTGAACTCTGGGAGTCTGGTTCAGGGAGAGATCTGAAGCAGTCCCTAAGAAAGGGGAGCCATGGATGAGGGTCATGATACATTTGCATGTTGAAGGGCCTGATAGATGTGAAGACATGAGATCAGTTTATTTTGTTTAATCTGCTGGCCTAGGTATTTTAAACACCAGCAGGGTCACCCACAGTGGACAGGTTTTAGTCGATTTTCTAGATGAAGACAGAACAGGAAGAAGGAGAGACAAACTACGTCCAAATATTTAGTCACTGAAAATCTTATGAATAGCAGAGAAACACTGTCAACACCAGAATATTGAACATTGAAACATGATGAAGAGCTAAAGAATATTGTCAGATGTAGTGCCAGAAGATGAGTCCCTCAGGTTGGAAGGCACTCAAAATACAATTGGGAAAGAGCTGCCTCCTCAAAGCAGAGTTGATCATGATGAGAGAATGGAGTAAAGCCTTCAGGATGTTCATTTGCTGATGGAGCACATCTCAAAATGAAGAGAAACAGCTGTAAACATCCATTAATAACCAGAACATGGAATGTACCAAGTATGAATATCATAAAATTGGAAATTGTCGAAAATGAAATAGAATATATACACATCGATGTCCTAGGCACTAGTAAGCTGAAATGAACTTGTATTGGTCATTTTGAATCTGACAACCATATGATTTACTATGCAGGGAATGACAAATTGAAGAGGAATGGTATCACATTCATCATCAAAAAGAACATTTCAAAAATCTATCTTGAAGTATAATGCTGTCTGTGATCACATAATTATCTATGTGCTTATAGGGAAGACCAGTTAATACCATTATTATTCAAATTTACACACCAACCACTAAAGCCAGTGATGATAAAAATGAAGAATTCTACCAATTTCTTCAGTCTGAAATTGAGCAAACATACAGTCAAGATGTATTGATCATTACTGGTGTTTGGACTGCAAAGATTGGAAACAAAGAGGAAGGATCGGTAGTTGGAAAACATGACCTTTGTGGTAGAAACAATGCAGGAGATCACATGATAAAATTTTACAAGACCAAAGACTTCTTCATGCAGATACCTTTTTTAAACAACATAAAAGAAAACTATACACATGGACCTCAGCAGATGGAATACACAGAAATCAAATTGACTACATCTGTGGGCAAAAGCTCCATATCATCCGCCAAAACAAGGCCAGGGGCAGACTGTGGAACAGATCATCAATTGCTCACGTGCAAGTTCAAGCTAAAGCTGAAGAAAATTAAAACAAGTCCACGAGAAAGCCAAAATATGACCTTGAGCATACCCCACTTAAATTTAGGGATCATCTCAAGAACAGACCAGATGCATCAAACACTAAAGACTGAAGACCAGAAGAGTTGCAGGATGACATCAAGAACATCATATAGGATGAAGGCAAAAGGTCACTAAGAAGACAAGCAAGAGAGAAAAGACTAAAATGGATGTCAGAAGAAACTCTGAAACTTGCTCTCCAGCATAGAGATGCTAAAGCAAATGGAAGAAACGAGGAGGTAAAAAAGCTGAACAGAAAATGACAAAGTTCAGCTACAGAAGACAAAGTCAAATATAATAATGGCATGTGCAAAGACCTGGAGTTAGAAAACCAAATGGAAAGAACATGCTCAGCATTTCTCAACCTGAGGAAACTAAAGCAAAAATCCAAGTCTGAACTTACAATATTGAAGGATTCTATTGGCAAACTATACAGAAAGCATCAAAAGAAGATGGAAAGAATATACAGAGGCACTGTACCAAAAGGAAATGGTCAATTCAATAGTTAACCATTTCAAGGGGGAATATATGATCAAGAGCCAATGATACTGAAGGAAGAAGTCCAAGTACATTGAAGGCATCGGCAAAGAACAAGACTCTGGGAATTAATGGAATACAAATTGAAATCTCTCAACAACTGATGCCACACTGAAGGTACTCGGCCCATCTATGCCAAGAAATTTGGAAGACAACTACCTGACCAATTGACTGGAAGAGATCCATTCCAAAGAGAGGTGACCCAATAGAATGCAGAAATTATCAGATGCTATCCGTAGTGGTTACGAATTGGGCTGTGAACTGTAAGGTCAGCAGTTTGAAATTACCAGCTGCTCCGCAGGAGAAAGATGACGCTTTCTGCTCCCATAAAGATTTACGGCCTCGGAAAGCCTGTACAGGGTTGCTATGAGTCGGAACCGACTCCACGGCACATAACAACAACAATAAGAATCATTAATATAAGGATCTCTGGTAGCGTTGTTGTTGTTGTTGTTAAGTGCCATCGAGTCAGTTCCGACCCATAGCGACCCTGTACGTAGTGGTTACTAATCATGCTGCTAGTCTCATGATCAGCAGTATGAAACTACCAGCTGTTCCGCGGAAGAAAGATGAGGCTTTCTGCTCCCATAAAGATTTAAGCCTTGGAAACCCTGTACAGGGTCACTATGAATCGGAATCGGCTCCATGGCACATAACAACAACAACAATCATTAATATAGCATGCAAGTAAAATCTTTCTAAAGATATTTCAAAAAGCTCTGTAACCATACATTGACAAAGTCAGACTCAGAAGAGGACATGAAATGAGGGATATCATTGCTGATGTCAGATGGATTTTGGCTGAAAGCAGAGAATGCCAGAAAGGTGTTTACTTGTGCTTTATTGACTATGCAAAGGTTTCAATTATGTAGATTATGACTAACTATGGACACACATTGCCAACAATGAGTATTCCAGAACATTTCGTTGAACTCATGAACTCTGTCTGTACACAGACAGACCAAGAGGCAGTTGTTCAAATAAAATAAAGAATACCAAACAGTTTAAAATTATGAAACCAGTGTTGTATTCTTTCACCACACAAATTAAAAAAAAAAAAAAAAAAAGCTGGGTTATATGAAGAAGAATGTGGTATCAGGATTGAAAGAAGACTTATTGACAACCTATAATATGCAGATGATACAATCTTGCTTGCTGAAAGTGAACAGGACATAAAATACTGATGAAGATCAAGACCACCACCTTCAGTATGAGTTGCATCTCAATGTAAAGAAAATAAAAAATCCTCACCACTGGACCAATAAACAACATCAGGATAAATGGAGAAAAGAGTTAAGTTGTTAAAGACTTCATTTTGCTTGGATCAGCCATCAACATTCATGGGAGCAGCAGTCAAAAAATCAAATGATGTATTGCGTTAGGCAAATCTGCTGCTTAAGACCTCTTAAAACTGTTTTAAGAGCAAAGATGTCAATTTGAAGACTAAGGTATGTCTGACCCAAGCCATGGTATTTTCAATAACCTCATAGGTGTGTGAAAGTTGGACAGTGAATAAGGAAGACCATAGAAGAATTGATGCATTTGAGTTATGGTGTTGAAGGAGAATATTGAAAGTGCCATGGGCTGCCAAAAGAACCAACTGATCTATGTTGGAAGAAGTGCAGCCAGAATGGTCCTTGGAGGCCAGATAGCCAAACTTCATCTCTCATGCTTCGGACATATTGTCAGGAGGGACCAGTCCCTGGAGAAGGATATCATGTTTGGTATCCATATCAAGTAGAGGGTCAGGTAAAAGAGGAAACCCCTCAATGAGATGGATTTGCACAATGGTAGCAGTAATCGGCTTAAACGTAGCAATGATTGTGAGGTTGGGGCAGGACCAGGCAGTGTTTTATTCTGTTGTGCATAGGGTCCCTATGAGTTGGTACACACTTGGTGGCACCTAACAACAAACAACAACAACTGACCCCCAAGTGTGTTTAAACCTGGAACTCTTTCTTGGCTGAAAACGGCCTGAACTTCTGTCTTCCCAGATTGTGGAGTAGTTCATCTCGATTCTCAGAATGCAAAATTGGTCTTGCTTTGGCCAACCTAGGCCCAGAGGGCAAGTGTGTGTTTGCCCCAGGAGCCTCCCCACCAACCCATTCCTACAGGGTCCACCCTATGCCCTTCCATCACTAACCATTGTTGTTGTTGTCGTTAAGTGCTGTCCATCTCAGATCCAACTTATATCAACCCTGTATAGGGTTTCTGAGGAGTGATTGGTGAGTTTGAACCATCATCTTTCATTTCAAACTGACCTTGTGATCCATTGCTTATCCTACAGTGCCACACCAAGACTCCTCATTAACCATTGTTGTTGTTAAGTGCCACGAAGTCAGTTCTGATTCATAGCCACCCTATATAAGGTGTTTCAGAAGAGCAAGCTGGAGGGTTTGAGCTGTCTACCTTGTGGTTTGCCATCCAGTGCTGATCCTATAGTGTCACCATTAAGCAACTGAAATTTCTCTTGGGGACGGGCAGCAAGATCATGAAAAGCAGGAGATGGGCAGTCTGACCCTGGCCCTCTGTTGGACATCCCCACAGATACCAAGCTCGGGCCCGAGGCCTTCTGGTTCAACTCTGGCAGAGAGGCAGTGGCCACCCAGCTGAGTGAGAGCTACTACATCCTGCGGCCTGAGGTGGTGGAGAGCTACATGTACCTGTGGCGGCAGACCCACGACCCCATCTACAGGGAGTGGGGCTGGGAAGTGGTGATGGTGAGTGAGCCCAGGGGGCAGGAGAGGTAGGCACCCCTGAGAATTCACAGGCAGGGTCCAAGGCAGATTGACATTTGGGTGAGGTTCAAAGTACAGAGGATCAAGGTTGGGGTCACAGAGCCAAGAGACCTGAACTGCACAGAGACTTCTGGGGGACAGAGCTGGTCAGAGACTCATGCTGCCTTAGTCAGCCTTGAGGGCACACAGCCTTTGAGTTTGGGGTAATCTTAGAGGAGCCCAAGCAGGGGCAGCCAGGCAAAGCCAGAGCACAGTACAGCTAGTCTTTTCCCAACAAATCCTTTCCAGACCCTGGAGCCTGGACAGCCTGGTATTGAGGTCTCCTCTCCTCCCTTCTCTTCCCAAAGCCAATCAAGGCCCAGCCACCCGACCCCAGAGAGGCCCTGTCCCCAAGTCTCTCCTCCACACACCCTCTTAGCACATCCTCTCTCCTCAGTCCCCAGACCCCCAGCCAGAACTCTCCTGGCCCTCTTTGGACTTGATGTCAGAGGCAGCTTTGGAGGTTCCAGAAGGTCCATGAGTGGTCACTGAGCTGCACCTGTCCTCACAGCCTGGTCCCAGCTTTCTGGGTGACGAGCAGGACCACCTCCATGAGGCAGACTGTCCCTAGGAGAGGAACAAACTCAGAAGTCACTATGGTCCCCAGGACCCAGCAAGCAAGTGTGTTGGCTTGAGACTACCCGCTTCTCTGAGATCTTGGTTCTTGACCTTCAAGGGGCTATTGGTTTGTGCTCCTGGACCCATTCTACAGACCCTCAATGTCTAAAAATTGCATGTATATGCAAAATACATTTATAGACAAAAATGTAGGCAGCCTGGTAGCCCACCTGCCTCTGGCCCAGGGACCATGTCTCTATAGAGACTCTTGGAGGTGTCCAGAGTCCATGCCACAAGTCTCAGCCCATGAACTTGAGCAGTGGCCTGCCTTTGTCTCCTTTACCATTGTGGGCACATTATTCATCAGAATAGGCAGACAAACCAGGGTAAGGGGCTTCATGCAGGCCAAGTCCTGGGGGGCCTCTGCTCTGCCCACACTATAGGCGGCCTTCCCTTTCCTCAGGCCTTGGAGAAATTCTGTCGGACGGAAGGAGGCTTTTCTGGGATCCAAGATGTCTACAGCAGCATCCCCAACCATGACAACAAGCAACAGAGTTTCTTCCTAGCAGAGACATTGAAGTGAGTCGGGCTTTGTCCATGAGCAGTCCCAGGGGTGCAGGGGGGGTGTAGGAGATGGGTCCGTCTTCCTCCCTTCTCACCAGCAGGCAGTTCTGTAGTCACAGAACTGGGCTCACAAGGAGAGACTGAGGGCCACTGGATTACACCCCCAGGACACTTTCTCTCCTCAAGAGCATGAGTCTTGGACAGGAGACAGGTTGGGTTGGCATCCAGCCCCCTAAGTATGAGCTCTGTGCTGGTTAGAACTTCAGTTCTGTAAACCGTTTCCTCAGGTTACTTCAGTTCTCTGAAACTTTGCCCTCACTCATGAAAAATGACTAGTAATCAGATGCTGAGAATACAATGCGCTGAGGCACCTGCCTGGTACGTGTTACCAACACCAGGCTCTGCAGCGTCTTTCCTTGTTGTTCCCCAAAGCAAGCCCTTTGTGCTGCACCCCTTAGGATAGTGCAGAGTTTCCGGTAGAAAATGCCCAAGCCCCCAGGAAGCACACTCACACTGCGGGCTCCTCAGCAGGCGGGAAGGCAGCAGTATGAGAGTTTGGGCTGTTGCAGCAGGCAGGGCACTCTGGGAAAGCAAGGAGAACTGACGCTGCAAAAGGGCCTATAGCAAAGTTTACATCCAGGACCAGGGAGGCAAAGTACCTGAGGGAAGCAACCAGGTAGAAGGTAGAGTGGGGGCAGGGCTCAGAGCCAGGGTTAAACTGTATGACCCAAAGCTCAGTGCTTTCCTTAGGGTCCACAGCTTCTTTCCTGGGACAGGTCTTTTTAACTGTCCAGATTGTGGAATAGCTCGTTTGGATTCTCAGAATCCCAAACTGCAAAATTCTTGAGGCCACAAGGGTTTTGCTCTGGCAGGCTCGGCTAAGATGAAAGCAATGCCAGGGTTCTGATGCTGTGTCTCGCTTCCCTGCCCAGGTATCTCTACCTTCTGTTTTCTGAAGATGACGTGTTCTCCCTGCAAGACTGGGTGTTCAACACTGAGGCCCACCCGCTCCCGGTAAACTACTCAGACAGCTCCAGCTCCGTCTGGAGACACTGAGCCCTCCTGTCTCCCCACAGCTCCCAGGGTCCGCCACAGACCTGTCTTGCCTTTTTGGGATTTGGGACTGTTCTCAAAGGGATTGGGAACATAAGACCCATCCCAGGCAGACCCTGGGCAGATCTGTCGGACAAGCAACTTCTTTTCCTCTATGAGGAGATAGGACTTGGAGACGTAGTGTTGTCACACAAGGGCCACCGTACTGCAGGCCCCAGATACTCCTTTCTATAGAGAATTTCTATGAAACCCACTCAACTTGCCATTCCAGGGCTAAAGGACCGGAGGTTTGTATACCCACCCCGTGTATTAGCTTCACTACCTTTCATTTTGTTTTGCTTGATTTTGCCTTTTACTCTACAGATGGGTTTTGTCACAATTATATAGTTTTCAAAACCATGTGCTTTCTCAAACGGTGGCTTCCTGGTCATGAAAACCTTCACATGTTTGCACATACACAAAGAAGCCTTGGCCCCGTTTTCGGTACTTTAAATGCCTTCTGCCCAGCATTTACTCTATGTTCAATTATGTGTCATTTATCTTTTTTTTTTTTTCTTTTTTTTGAGGAGGGGTTTCCCCCTTTCATTTGGATCTAAGTGTTACAAATCACTAGTACTATTTTCATTATTGTAATGGAAAAATCTGTGAACTAGAATAAAAGAGTTTATTGAATAAGAAACCAGATTGAGCTCTTTGCATATCAGTGAATTTGGGGGAAACCACTGCAATGTGATCATCAGGAAGATGATCAAGGAGCAGCTGATTTAAGGGGTAATTTATTTAGTCAATGAGGAATCAAGGAATCAGTAACTCTAACTACTGTTACCTTCCCTTTAAATCAGTTCTAATAGATTCAGAGCTCTGGTAGCGTAGTGGTTACGAGTCAGGCTGTGACCTGCAAGGTCAGCAGTTCGAAACTACCAGCTGTTCTGCGGAAGAAAGATGAGGTTTTCTGCTCCTGTAAAGATTTACAGCCTCAGAAACCCTGTACAGGGTCGCTATGAGTCAGAACCAACTCCAAGGCACATAACAACAACAATATATCCAGAAAGGAGCCCTGCTTGAGAAGTAGATTACGCCGTGGATTACGCCTCTGACTGCTAACCCACAAGGTCAGTAGTTCAAATCCACCAACTGCTCTGTGGGTAAAAGATGAAGCTTTCTGTTCCTATAAAGATTGACAGCCTCGGAAACCCTTTACAGGGCCATTATGAGTCAGAACCGACTTGACAGCATTTAACAGCAGCAACATATTCAGGAGGTGTAAAGCCAGTTCTTTAAATTCAGTTGATGTTTGTACTCAAGTTGAGTCTTGACAGAGGCCACGTTCCTGAGGCCACATAATTAGTAAAAGGCCGAGGTGAAGCCTGGACCCTATGGCTTCCTGGCCCCCTAACCCCCTTGTTCATCTGTTCAATCAATCAGCAGATATGAGAGGACTTCCAAAAGTTCATGGACAAATTCCATTCTCTTTTCATTCCATTTTCCCACAAACTCTGAAGCTTCCTCATACCTGGTGAGTGGCTGCAACGGATCAGACATGGGTTTAGATGCCAGGGACACCGCTGTGAGCAGGACCCTTGCAACACTGTCCTGGGAGCACACAGTCAAGAGGGAGCTATAAACTTTAAAGTGAATTGACAGATAAGCAAAATAGCTGCAAGGGGTATGAAATGCTACAAAAGACACAAACCAGGCCAAGAAGTAGTGGCCAGGCCCTACCTTAGGAGTCAGGGAGGGCCCCTCTGGGCAGGTGACAATCAAACTGAGACCTAGAACATAAAGGAGCAGAGGAGTATCCCGCAGGTGGTCAAGCATCCCACAGGTCTGAGCTCCTTTCCACTCTCCCAAGTGACTGTCACCTATGTCCCCTGCAGAGCAGGGGTCCAGGTCCCAATGCTGAGCAAGGGCCTTTCCTCCCTTCTCCCCTACAGCCTCTGTAGCCAGCGCACTCACTGAACCCACAAGATGAAGTCCAGCCCTTCCACTTCATTTGCTTTCTAACAGTCCACCTGAGTAGCCCCTGGGCTGTTGGAGCTCCCACCAGGCTGCCTGGCTTTAAACCCTGCTGGGTAAATACGAGCAGGTTGGCTCACTTCTCTGGGCTCCCCTTTTCCATAAAGCAGGAGGAAGAACCTCCATGAGAATGATGGGATGACAATGGTGTGAGGGCGGGGGGACTTCCTCCTTGTTCTGGAGACACAGCTGCTCCCAGCAGCTCTGGAACGGAAAGTCACATCCACAAGTGTGCTCCCTCTGGAGCAGACACCTGGAGTGTGATCAATAAATTCCACAAATCACTTCACTCTTGATAGGCATTAAGTGTGGCTCCAGCAACCCACCTGTGCCGGTTAAAGGGGGTGGGGTAAGACAAGAAAGCTCTTTGACTACACAAACGTCATAGAAAGATTAGAAAATAAAGATAAGCAAATGGTTAAAACACTGTACTACTAACCAAAGAGTTGGCGGTTTGAGCCTACCAGCCAGGCCTTGCCTGGTGGAGGCGCAGGAGAGGAGACTTTGGGGTAGCTGCGGCAGGACAAAGCCGAGGGGCCCCAGGGGATGGAGATTGAAATGATGATTTTGGCCTCATCAGTCCAGCACCAGAACTGGGAAAACCAGTCCAGTTGGTCCACAAGCACTACCGAGCCCAGAGGTATGCCAGGTGTGCTGGGAGGGGCTGAGTGGACAGGGAGTGGACACAATGCTGTCCTCAGAGGGTTATTCCCTCCCTACTGGGTTGGTGGTTGGAACTCAGCCGCCACTCGGCTGGAATGAGATGAGGCAGTCTGCTTCCATAAAGTCTTACAGTCTTGGAAATCTGTGGGGCAATTCTATTCTGTCTTTGATGGTAGATAGTAGTCAGTCCGGAGCCATACTATAAACATTGTTGTTGTTAAGTGCCATTGAGTCAGTTCTGACTCATAGCAACCCTGTATAGGGTTCCTGGGGAGCTTCTGGTGAGTTTTTAACTGCCGACCTTGCGGTTCAAACCCACCTTGCAATCCAGTGCATTATCCTAAAGCACCACACCAGGACTCTATAAGATGCATACTGTTTTGTAATCTGTATTTGCACTGAACCATAGGAGCTCTGGTAGCGTAGTGGTTACGAATCGGGCTGCGAACCTTAAGGTCAGCAGTTCGAAACTACCAGCC